GTTCAAAATAAGTTCAGTTACACCAATCCCTAAATCTAACTGTCTATCTCTCGCTTCAAATTACCGACCAATATCCATACAATCACATTTATCAAAAATCTTTGAAAAATTAGTCCTCAATGCAATACAACCATTTGTTAACCAAATACTCATAGATGAACAGCATGGATTTAGACCTGGTCGATCTACCTCCACTTGCAACGTCCTCTTTTGTAATTATGTGTTTAACTCATTTCAGTGTGGCTTTCAGACAGATGTAATTTATACGGATTTTAATAAAGCTTTTGACTCTATTAATCATAAAGCCCTAATTCATGTGCTCAAAGAAACTGGCTTCGGTGAGCCTCTTCTGTCATAGTTCAGTTCTTATTTAAACAATAGGTATCAATGGGTTAGAGTTTTCGGAATAAAATCTAACTTATTCCATACTAAATCAGGTGTACCTCAAGGGGGGCACTTATCTCCTTTACTATTTTCTATATTTGTTAATAGTATACAGCTAACTCTAAAACACTCTCGCGTTCTCTGTTTTGCGGACGATATGAAAATATTTATGCAAATTCAATCTCCTAGTGACTGTATAAGGCTCCAAGCAGATCTTGATAAATTTGTTGACTGGGTAACTAAGTTGGGTTTAACACTTAATCTATCCAAATGCAAAGCTTTTACATTTTCTAGGAATCACTCTCCGATTACTTTCCCATATCGCCTTGGTAGTGAAGAAATCCCTCGTGCATCTAACAATATTATGGACCTTGGATTCAAATTCAGCCACAATCTTGACCCCAGTGCTCACATCCAACATATCTGCTGTAAAGCCTTCAAAATGCTTGGTGTTCTTATTAGATTAACCAGAGAGTTCAAGCTTGAAAAGACATTAAAACTTTTGTTTTGTGCACTGGTCCGCCCTATATTAGAGTATGGCAGTGTGGTATGGGACCCCAACACGGCAGACAACTGTCGCCAGTTAGAAAGGGTTCAAAATAAATTTCTACGTTTTGCTGGGCGGNCTAGGTTTCTCGGGGATTTGCTTGATGGGAAGATAGAATGTCCTGCGCTATTATCTCTGATCCCTTTTAGGGTTCCGCAAATCAATACCAGATCAAATGCGCCTTTCCGAGTCACGCATGCCCCCACGAACTACCTAATGAATGAACCCCTTCGCCGGTTACTTAGAAGTGCTAATGTGGATCCTAATTTTATATTATAATAATATTTGTATTGAGTTTTGTAATATCTTATTCGTATTTCGTTTTATTAGTTGTAAACATTTTTTATTTGTCTTTTGTTATTTGTTTTTATGTAATTTTGTTTGTTTTGTATCTTTCTCTCAAAATTAGTTAAAATTAAATATGTAAATATAGCTTGTAAAAAAAGGGATACATCCCGTAAACTAAATAAATAAATAAATATTAATAATAATTTAATAAAAATTTATTCTATTTTTTTCTTTTTGTTTAGTTAAATATAATATATATTAGATATAGTAGATTACTTAATATTAGACATTTTATCTATCTCCAACATTTATATTTGAAAATTTTGAACAATGCATTTTAAACAAACTAAACTCATTTTCTCAAGAACTATTGTGAAATTTTAAAACTTTTTCAATTCGAAAATATCTTATTTGACTACAATAATTTTTTTTGACAGATAAAAAGTATTATTTTATCGTGTAACACATTTGAATTAAAACATTATTTGGAATAAAAATTGACTTTTCAACTAAATGTTGTAATATTAGACAATCAGTGATAAGATATATAATTTTACACATTTTGAAAAAGTGACTTGATTCAAAATAGTGTATTTATTTGGATCTATTATAATATTTAATTACTGTTTATATCATAATGGAATATCTAAATCAACAATATAATACCTAAATTGATTATTAATAATTAAATATTGAATAATTTGTTTTTTGTTTTAGAACTTTTTGCACAGTTCATCACTGTGCAAAATCAAGATTAAGATCTGGGCAATCTTCATTGACAAATCCATCACCAGAGATGTCAATCGAAAATATGTCACAAGAAAAAGATTCTCCTCTGGAAGTGGATTTGAATCCAAATCCCGAAATTAGTTTTGAAAAATTATGTTTGGAAGAAAAAAAATGAAAAAAATAAAACATTACTTGGCTTAATTTTTGTTTTATTTCTACAAAATCCTTTTACATTTCTGTTTATCATATTTCTTCTGAAGAACAGCGAGTTGTAACAGTATAGATATTTCTTAATCTAAATTTAAAAAAAAAAATAAAAAATAATTTTTGTGAGACTTCAAAGTAAAATAGCTCTATAGAGCTATCGTATAGATACTAATAATAATAGTTACCTATATTATTATTAGAATAATAGTTTATTAAGTATATCTGTGATTAAAACTAATACCACATAATAGATATAATCTAATCTATTCCATGCTAATGCAATATAAATAAGGATTATTTACACATCAGGATTCGGTAAGTATTTGACGTGTGCGGATGTGTTAACTTCCTTCACACGTTTTTAATTTAATTATTTTCTTAGAAAAATTTCGGGCACAATTTTTAATATAAACCAGGTAATGTATTATATTATTATCCAACTTTTATACATATATTTCTAATATGTGTACATATAATAATATGTGATTTCGATTCATAAAAATGGCTTTTTGGAACCGTTGTTAAGTTAAAAAAGTTTATTAAAATTGTCAGAACATGCTGGATCACTTGTGTAAACTATTAGGAGAGACTGATGTACATTTGAATTGTAATGCGTAATCCAAAAAGAAGTTGGCCGCACGGTTTGTTGTCGCGTCGTTTAGATAAACTGACGAACACCACACAAAAAGAAAGAGTTAATTTCCACTTTCCGATTAAAGTACGGACCCGGACATTTCGCCACCACCGATTCGCCGCCGCCGTTTCGCCGCCACCGTTTCGCCGCCGGACACTTCGCCGCTGACCGTTTCGCCGCCGACCCATTTCGCCGCTGACCGTTTCGCCGCCGGACTATTCGCCGCGGACGTTTCGCCGCCAGACTCTTGATATATAAATTTTTTACTAACGCCTCTTCGAAAAATTTTAATTATTTTAGCCTAATCCTTCATTGCACAAGTCCTTAAAATCCAGTATAATGATAAAAAAATTAATTATTTATATAATGTCACAAATTATTTAAATTTAATTTGTACTTAATTTAATTATTATAATTAAATGTTATCATAATTATAATATTCATTGTTATTTTTTCATTTTAACAATTAATACTATTGAAATAACTATATTTCAAGCATACTAATGCTCTTATTTATATGTATAGATGATAACCATGTGATATAATTATCAATTATTTATGTATATACTTAGCGTCGTATCATAAATTAGCAAACCTAGTTTTTGCAAATATTGTATATTTTTAATGAATAAGGTATAAAATACTCAAAAATTCTGTATCCTCTTGGATAGCTATTTAATCATTTTAGAAATTAAATAATTAAAACAACTTGAGTCAATGTTATAAATTGTTATTTAAAAAAAAATTGTCACTTTTAAAATAAACTATTCAAGCAATTTAAATGGTACATATGAGTATCGAATCGTATGGATGCGAATAACAAGATACTTTATTATTTTGTATTATTATTTATTGTGTATATGATATTTTGTTTAACAATAAATCAAAGTTTTAGAATGGTTAATTAGGGTAATTTTTGTTTTAAGAATACAACATATTAATTACTTTAATTTATTCTTATAATAGTTGTAATCGTATATTTTAAAATGAACTCTATTAGACTACCCAGTAGTATTTTGAATATTTTAAATATAAAATAATACTATATTTCAAGATAGAAGTGTGATATCCGTAAATTAATTTATTAAGTACAAATTATTTTAATATCGATAAAAAGTTGAGTTGACGAGTGAATGAATTATACTATTTCTAAACATACAGTAAATTAATAAAAAAGGAGTGTACCCATTAACCGTGTAAACTGGATTGGACCAGTAGCAACTGACTAGTGGTACTCAGGCAAGTTACCCCAAAATTTGGATAGCTTATTACTCGGTGGCTATTGGTCGTAGAGTCACCGAGTTTGCGGTGGCAATTTTAGTTTTAAGTCCCTTAAGTAGTACGCTATCACTAGAAGAGTGCAAAATTTCTTCCCAGGGTTCGTTTTTGAATCCTTCCGAAACTAAGTACACCTCAGAAATACTACAGGAAACGGATCCCACGACCTACCTAACATATTATCTTTTTTCATTATTTCAACCTTATTTAAAAATAAACACATTTCACTTGAAACATCAATAACATATTTATATTGAATATTGATAATATTATTATAATATATATACACACAAGTAATTATTTTTTTTAAATGTTCAAAGCCATATTTATTATGTTTTATTTATTTGATTATTGTAATAATAAAAAACAATAAAAAAATATATAACTTTAGTAATATGATCAAGTAGTGATAGAAGTTTCAAGCTTATTTAAAGCAATACATTTTATTTAAATTAAAAAATTATAGTATACATTTTTACTCAAATACTCATTATTTAAATGATTTTTATTAAAAAACTTGTCTATGATAATACTTAGATAATATTATCTATGCATTGTATATTATATCATAATATATTGTTGAATTGGTGTGTAATTTCACATATGATTTTGAATACTCAGTTTATAGCATCATATTGTGTAGAAATATATATTTTTCTCCATTCTTAGTAGATGTTAAGTGGATACCTTACACTAAATATTCTACACCTTATCAAAACAACATCAAGAAATTTTTTATTTGTAATTGGTATTTTTAATAATAAAAATTGATCACTTATGGCAAATATCTTTTAAAATTAAAACTATATTAAAAATATTTAACTCCAAAAGCCACAAAAAAATTATTAAAAAATTGCGAATATGTATTCGGAAAATGTTACCATTATCAACACTCAAATACTTATTTTGTTTAATTCTGAATGGTGTCAAAGCCAAAATTATCACATATCTATAAACTAAATTTTACATAGAAATACTAATATAGAAACATCCATTTAGTTAAAATAGAAAAGGAAACTTTATTAGATAATAATAATAGGTTGGATTGGGGTAGTAAAGATATTTTAAAATATACAGATTATTACATAACATAATAGAATCATTTACTTTGTTAAAATTGTAAGTACAAAATACATTCACAAATTAATTACAATAAAATTAAGTTAATATCATACTGTATATTATTAATAAACAATAAGATATACATTTTTAAATATACAACTATATAACAGTTATAAAATATATTTAAGAGTCTCGTAGATTTTACCAGTACCCTAAACTCTTTTAATAGTTGGAGTTAAGTCAGGTAAATTATTTTAAATTCTGAATCATTTAAATTTTGAAAATGAATATTTATATAAATAATTTCAATACAACATATAAATGTGACACAAGTTTAAATTTATATAAACTAAAATACTTAATGAATTAGGAACTTAAAGGTGTGCATCTATTCATATATTTATAATAATAACCTACTGAAACATTTATAACAAAAGATGAAACACATTCAACTAGCGATGATTTTCCAGACTTTTTGTTTGTTTTCATTTGAGATTTAGTTAGTACTAGATATGGAATCAATAGAAGTTTCAATGCGTAGCTTGTTCTAGTATCTAAATAAAAATTAATTTAAATATGATTTGTATCAAAAATTAAAATAGTAATAATAACTAAAATATACAACTAATAATTTAAAATAGATTTTGGAGATTCATACATTTAAATTTTACATGTTAAAATAGATGAACTACAGTGACTCACTTATCATGCACTACTTAATTAAACAAAAAATAAAAATATTGGTTTCTTTTAGTTCAAAATCTAAAAGTTATTATTAATCATTAACCAAAGTAATTTTCTTAATTAAATTATACCCTGTAAAATAACATATATTATGAATTAACTTTTGTAAGGAAATATACTAGTGAACATGTAGATTAAACAAAATATAAATGAAAACACAATTGAAATTAATGGATTAATACTTAGCAGAGCTGTGAACTATATTTATCACTTATATATGAGTATTTCAAATACACAGTCTGAGGATTATTTATAATAAGTTAATAAAATGACATAACATTTTTTTTATAAAGACTAGTTTAATCCCAGGACTTATAATTATGTCTCTGGTTAAATTACAATATTAACTTTTAAAATAAAGGTGCATACAATTCACAGGATAGATAATTAATAATTATACAATAATAACTTACATTCAGTTGTATAGTATCAAGTTGTTTTAATAAGTCATTAGCATAATTATCTTTCACTAAATTTCTATGTAAGCTCAATAAGTTATTTGAAAACAAAATCCACTTTTTAATAAAGTTTAGCCAATTATGTTAATAGTTTTTTGTTTCTGGATATTTCATAAAAAAATCTTCAAAAAACCTAAAACAAAAATTTAAATAATAAGTAGTCACAACACATTGCTTTTTTTTATAGTTTTAACCAGTATCATATTTGAAAATAAAAAGTAAAAAAAGTTGTTGATGAGTTGATAGAAATATTACCTAAATTTTAATTTAAATATTAAAACATGCATTGATTACTATATTATAAAAAAAATAGACATAGATAATAATATTAATTACTAATATTTATCATTTTTTTTTCTTACCAGATTATATCCTTTAGGACTACATAAAATAGGCCATGATTTAAAATTTTTAGACAAATGACGACCAGTAATGCTATTTTAAACCTCGAATTCCAGCCATTCTTATTTCCATTGTTTTTTAATCTCATCAAAGTTAGAAAAAACCCAATTGTGCTTAACCAAACTTTTGCTGATTCAGCTTCATCTATTTTAATATTTATATTAAATAAATAAATGAATTGGATGTATTAGCATGAATATAAACACATAAATGTTTGATAATATTACTACCAGAAAATGTTAAAATTGGTAATGTTTCAGAGAAGTTTTTATTTTTTCGTTTACTTTCAATAGCACCTATGCTCCAAAACTGGCGTACACAATTTTGTCAATGTTTCACTAATTCTTCTTTTGCATGGAATTATTTTGACTTGATAGTATAAAATATACTTTCTATAAGATAAAAATAGTAATATTAAAACTCATTTTTAATTTTTTATGTTCAAAAGCATGTATAATTCTGTTTTTTTTTATTAATATATACTATTAATAGTATTAAATTCAAATTTAAAAAATAGCTATCAGTAAATAAAATAATAATGAGGTAACATGTATTAAAAACTTTTATATACATACATTTTTTAATTTTGAACTAATTTGTTAAATTTAAAAATATTATAATCTGTTTTTATTTAAAATACATTGGTTATTAAAAGGGTAGGTAATTCAAATATCAAATATTTTTCTAATTTGAAAAAGAGCTTTAATTATTAAATTTATTGATGAGTATTTGAAAAATGTATTTATTTGCATTTATCATTATTATTAATTGATTATGATAATTTAAAAAAAAAAATGTAAATTAATATAATAGTTTTAAACCTATATCCTACTTCTTGTTCTTTTGGAAGTAATTCAATGATAATTGAAGAAATTTTCCGAAATTAAAAATCAGTTCCCCTAAAACAAATATTTAATATAACATAAGTTTAATAAATAGAAATATTAAATTAGTATAAAATTAAAGGTCTATGATTATTTTATATAAGAACTATAAGTTTTCATGCATGTTAACTATTTTAACTTACACCCATACATATTTAATTTATAAAAAATATTTAAAATAACATAGTGTATATTACCGAGCTTTGTCTTTAAATAAATAATTTATTAGGTCTCGTAAGTGTATTTTGAGCATCATTAGATAAATGTTCATGGTTTACTTTTGCATCAGTCAAAATAAAACGACCATCATTAGTTGAATACATCAAGCTCATAATAGACTAAAAGTAATACATATTTATTATTTTATAATTTGTCATATTTAAAGAATAAAATTTTATTAGTATATTACCTGCAAAGTCCATTTTATTGGTTAATGTTCCATACTTGAAATTTGATTCAGTTAGAAATGAATATGAAGAAAATTTATTAGAATTAGTTTGCACATTTACACTATCATCACTTTTATTACTATTTAAAACACTTCCTACATTGATAATTCCATCCAAATTTTTATACTCTGTCATATGACAGCTATAATTACAGTAAACTCCCTATTATCCGCGAGCGGATTATCCGCGTTGCGGATTATCCGCTGTCTTCCACGGAATCGTCTACATACCTATTTGTAAACAAA